CATCTATCAAACATAAACAAGCTCCACAGCCTCTCTCAAACTAGCACACAGTCATTCACGCTCTGGTAAAGCCAGGAGAGCCCTAAACTCTAACCCTTACCCAAAGTTAATCCAAACCCACCCACAGCCCCTCCAAACAGAGACCCTCTAACCAGCCACAGCCTGTCACCCTCAACAAAACACTGTGTTCATTTACTTTGCTGTCTCTAAGCTGCAAAGACATACCCTTTGCTTCCCAGTGCACAACCCAGATCTAACAGTCTCTGACATGATCTCCTGCCTCCAGGTGGGTTGCCACAGCTTGACTGTGCCTGTGTTGCTCTCATGAGCATCACTGGGAGCTGCACATGCCCAGAGGCTGCAGAACTGGGAGCTGGTGCTTTATTATCTTGGGCCATGTAGCCCACGAGCAGGGTTTCTTCTGCCTCAGACATAAAAGGTTTTGAGGGGGGGGAGGGATAGGCATGAAGTGAAGACTTCAGTTCTTCCTTGCTATGAACACTTCATCTCTGCATAACACACGAGTTTGTGTCCTTCCTGGAGCACTCTAAGCACAGCTTCTTGCTTCACACTCCCATCTTTGTTTATTTTATTTAAAGCTTTCACTTCTGAGCTTTGAGGCTAGAGATCAAACAAATAAAAGGGAATTTGGAAGCTGCAATGTCTGATCTACATTCTGCTCAGAAGTTAAACTATAAATTGCCCCCAAGCCAATACACAGGCACTCATTTTGGAGACTGTTTTGTAGGATATAACACAGCCAGTTTCCCTCCCAGAAGGTCAGGATGAAGATCTGTGTTTATTACTTCACCATCAGATGACAAAGTCTCATGACTAAGGCAGTGGACTTGCATTTAAGACATCTGAAATTAAGTTTTCATATTTAGTTTCTCAGCAGTCACACCACTAAACAAAGCCAGTTATTGTTCTTCCTGCCATTTGTCCATCTCATCTCTTTGGATGACAAACTTCCTAAGACAGAGACAGTGTGTTTCACTCAGAGATTCTCCTATATCCCCCCCATTCTAACCAGTAAAAACTAGGAGCACTTCCAAACAGTTACACTATATGCACACTTTCATTTGCTCACCCCAATTGTTTTCCTACAGCAGAAGATTCAATTTGTGTATAAGTATTTAAACTGAAAGCCAAATATTTAGAAACACATGTAAAACAACTGCTTCCCTCATAGTACTAAACCCAATGATCTTACAAAGCCCAAGTCCCATGTCCCAGATTCCCACTTCAGTCCACCTTTCCAGCAGAACCCTTCAAGTAGCAACTTTTTGACTCAGGAGACCAAAGTACGAAATTTTTACATGACTGTTTAAAAATTACAGATAAAATTCTGTGTGAGTAGCTAATATCTCTGGCATTTGGTTAGTTTTTCTGTCAGACTGGATCCATTTTCCTAAATACCACAATGCTGAATTTCAACCAAATACCATTCTGATGACATGCCCAAAACAATGGATTTTCTATGTATACCCAGTCTGAGACTCTCTGCTTTTCAGAAAATCTCAGTAACAGACACATTTATTCTAATAAGTTCATGCTTTAGTTCAAGCAGAAGATGTAAAGAATCACAGTTTTCCACAGTACGTGACTGGGACAGCAGCTGAAGTCAACAAGAGCCCTGCAGGCACATCTTAACGTAGCATTTGATCTGTAATCACATTTATTGGAATACAAGTACATAGAGGCCCCATCTTACTACACTGAACATGTTGGGAAGATTTCTATTGCAAGGAAAATAGGATTAGAACCCAATTCATGCAGGACACTCTAGCTAGTGCCATGCCATCAGCTCTTATGCAGAGCTCTCTGGTGTCTTAAATGAGGGTGTTTCTTAATCGCTGATGGCAAATCCAGTGTTCTAGCACATTTCTGCTTTTATGCAGAGCAAATATCCCTGTGTACAATGAAAAAGATTTAAAAATGCTAAAGACTTTGAGAGTAAATGATTAGATGATTCAATTACCACAGATTTGGTGCAAGTACTTATCTGTACGTGTTACAGGGCTCAAAATAGGATAATGAAGCATATGTATTATGCTACTACGCAGATATAATTCATACAGCAGCACAGGGTTAGGTCCTGCAGACTTATACATGACGTGAACAAAGATTGAGTTTGATTTGTTGGCCCTGATGTGTGCAACACCAGTTAAGACACTGCCTTAAGGGGGTGGACTTGAAACAGGGCTTCTAGTTTCCAGAGGTAAAAAAAAAAAAAAAAAAGAGGAAAAAAAAAGCATTTTCTGTAAAGCAACTGCATTCTTTACAGAGAACAATAATTACTGCACCTAAAACAGCTCTAAAGAACACCACTTTAACAAACAAACGGGAAGCTCTGAAGGTCAAAATGTCATTTTCTTTTAAGATATTTTGAAGGAACTTCAGTGCTTATCCAACCCGAGTGGCAGCACTGGAGACCTGAGTCTTCCATTTCCTCACAAAAGCAGGTGACATCCCTGCAAGTCCTCATCACACTGACTGCTAAGTTAGTATTTTATCCACATTTCTTTATGCAACACTTCATGTCTAGGGAAGATTTCTTGCCTCTACACCAAGCTGTCTCTGTTTCAAACCAGGTCCCTGGCACAGACAGTCCTTCTAAGACACATGAGTGATGGGGACTGAGATGGCAGCAATCTGCTTCACAAAAGCAACCGATGAGACCTCTCGTGGTTGCGAGACTCAGATGGTTCTGGTCTAGAAGGCACCTGAATTAGGAACTCTGAGGGTCAAATCCCTCAGTTTCTAATCTAAAAGCCATGCTTTGGCTGATGTGCTATTCACAAGTAATTAGAGGCAGCTCCAAACTGCCACAGGTATGGAAATTACAATAAACCAAGAAGCCTGTTATTCAGCGAGGTCTTGATTCAAGCAGAGTAAAAAGACATTACTTCCAAAGAGGAGCGCCCCAAAATACAAAATTAGTTGCCTCCCTCTTACAAAGAAAAAAGCAGGTACTGGTTTACACCTTTTTAAGTCAGTAGTAGGAACAGAGATCCTGTGCTCTCTGCACTGACTTCGGCTTCTCAGGTGCGGGAGCTGCCACAGAGTGGCACTGTTCACAGACACCAGTGTGCCCAGGAGAGAGCTCACAGCACGAAATTTTGGTTTAGCCAATTTTGTAGCCCTCAGCATCAGTTTCCATCTGGTGATCCCCACTAAATATTCTTCTGTGCTCTGCTACCTTTTTGACTAATTCAAATCATTCCATTACCTCCGTTGCTGGCCACAATGCTATTAGTTTACTCTTCAGAATTTAATCCAGCCTAGAAATGATGCAGTAGTGCCACATCCCCAAACCACAGACATGTAAAAAATTGGGACAGACAGCAGTTTAGATGATCTGGGCAGGAGGTCTTGCCCTAACAGACATATGTGACATGCTGTCTTGGCGGCACACGCTCACATCCATCTGTTGACGTGGAACTGAGCCCACTGCACTTCCACTGTCCTGTTTTTAGTTTGCATGCACCACATAAGCTCTGGGTTCAGTAGGCAGGGTGCACAGTGCTGTGAGTCCTAAACCCAACTTCTACTGTCAGCGTGGAAAACACTGCAAGAATTCTCACAGTCATGAAGAGGAAACATGAAAACGACCCCCAGCCCTGGGGTCCTAGGAGGAAAGCAGATCTTTCCAACAGGAAAACAACACATCATGAGCATTAGTGTTGACTTTAATTTCTTGTGGTCAGTGAATTCAGGAAAATCAAACTGAACTTTTTAAAATGCCCCCAAGCACCTGTAATTAGACCTCAAGAATTATCACCTTATCTTCCAGTAGACATCAGTAAACAGCCAGCTTGGTCTTGGGAATGATAAGGAGTAAAACCCAGCCTTCATATGTATTTCTATATGAGAAAAACCCTAAATTATTCAGAAAACAGGAAAAGGCAGTAGCCAGATAACACACAGCACCTGTAAAGCACCAGCAGGTCACAGTGACCCATATACAAATTATTTCCATTACTGTGAGCCAAAGCCTGCAACCGTTTGCCCTGAGAGTGTGAAGAGGTATCAGGAAAAAGTGTGAACATCCCTGCATGAGGATTATGAATCTGCGTCAGAAGAGACTCAGCAGAGAGGGGAGCTCAGGGCCTTCCCTGCACAGTCAGTGGCATAAAATTGTTTTCCTTCTTCCACAGATAATTTGGCAGGAACATTTGTTCAACATTAGCTAAGTGACAGGGGCTGAGAGAGGAGCTGAAGCCCAGCCAGAGCAGCAGCACACCTTTGAAGCTTGAAACACTTTTGCAATGCAGATTTAAGATAATGTTCTTTGTCCCAGACTTTCCTGTCATTAGTTAAAGGTTTATAACGGCCTTCTCTGTCAAGCTGCAATATGGTAATATGGCATTAATAACTTAATACAGTATTAACTGATAGACAATCAGTATTAGCATGATGTTTACATTTGAAAACCATTATACAGTGCTATATCTCCAGTTCTTATCCTGCCATTAATTCAGATGTGGAGTTCATTACACAGCAATTGACATTTCCCTTCCGAACCTGCACCCTGCTCCGCATGGGCTCTGCAGCTGCTGGGGACAACCAGCCCTGCAACCAGTTGCTGATCTAAAATCCCTTCAGAACATCCCCAGCATTGTGCTCACCTGAGGCTGCAACTGCTGTTTCAAAAGCCTCATCTTAAAGGCTGAAAGTGGTTCTGAAAGCGAGGCCTCCCAAAACCTCATCCTAAAAGCTGCAAGGTGGTTCTGGAGGCGGGGCCTCCCATAGCATCTACGGAAAGGATGCAGATCCCTGCCTTGCGCTCAGACCCACCTCTCCAGCCCGCGCCTAGGCTGGGCCAACGCACCAGCCCCGGCTTTTGAAACAACTGAAGCGCAGTTGCCAACAGATCTGGGTGCGATTATTTAACATCAGCATCGCAGCGACAGCCCCACCCATGGCAAAGGGGGGGGGGAGGGGGTCACGGTGGCTGACCCGCGAGTGGGGGTCCCCCTCCCGCGCCCGCGCCCTACCTGACCCGTGCTGCTGGCGGAGGATGGCAGCCTGCCCGGGCGGCGGCGAGGCCGAGGAGGCGGCAGCGGCGGCCGTCGATGCGGTGACAGTGGCGGCGGTGGCGCTGGCGGCGGTGCCTCCCTGTGCCGGGGCCGGCGGCGAGGGCGGCGGCGGGCGCTTGCCGGGGCCGGGCGGCGGCGTGGGGCGGGTGGCGGGGCCGTGGCGGCGCGGGGCAGCCCCGCTCTGGATGTGCGACACCGCCTCGGCCGCCTGCACGTCGGGCGGCGCGAAGCGGGACAGGACGCGCAGCAGCGCCTGAGCCTTGTGCTCCTGCGTCTCGTCGTCGCTGTAGTCCGACACGCGGCACTGGTACACGCCCTCGTCCTGCCGCCGCACGCCCGAGAGCCGCAGCCGGTGCGAGATGTCGTTGCCCTGGACGCGGACCGTCTGCAAGAGAGAGCGCACCGCCGGCACCGCCTCAGCACCGGGCAGCGACCCTGCCCTGGCCCCAGCCACGGGGCGAATTTCCCCCCAGATCACCGGACAGTGAGCTGTTAAAGCCCCACCTCGCCGTCCCAAGGCCTCACAACGCCCTCACCACCAACCCCCCCGCAGGGCTCCCCTCGCACCCCGCGCAGTGCCCGGTGCCGGGCAGCCTCCAGCCCGTACGGACAGCCCCGAGAGGAAAGAGCAGCCCCTTGGGGGTCGCCCCGCGCCTGCTGCAGAGTGACAAGCCCGGCTGGGGCTCGGTGACACCCTGCTGGGGCCGAGCAGGTGACCTGAGCCCGGCTCCGCCGGAGCGGCTCAGCACCGCAGAGAGAGGCAGCGGCACCCCGGGCTCGCATCAAATAAAGGGGCGTGTTTCCTGCAGGACAGACAGAGAAGGGGGTCGTTTTGTGAGACTTTCTCCTGATCTGGCCCACAGTCCTTTCCAAACGTGGCTAAGGAAGGGCTGTATAAGGCAAGCATCACTTCCTCTGGATTTGCAAGGAATGAGACGTGACTGCAAAACCAGCAACAGATGGTAATGCGTTGATCGAGCCGTGACACACTGAGGAGGGGAAATGTGCCACACTCCTGCCGTGCTGCAGGAGCAGGGCTGCCAGTGAGACCAGCTGCATTCCTGTGTCAGGAAAGGAGGGGGCATGCAGTAAATCCCACGTGCATGGGAGGAGGGGTGTACACCCATCTCGAGCTGCACTTACACTGATTTTGGTTGCATCCTTATTTGTTACCTAAAAGAACAGAAAAAACGGAGGTTAGACTCAGCACTGCCAGTATATCAACAAAATGTTCATATTCCCACCCCAGTGCAGGGACAGGACATGGGCAGATACAACTTTCTCCACTTGCCAATCACACAGCCTGTGCGTGGCTCGGGGAAGTTCCCCAGGTTATGGGTAAGGCAGCAAACCAGTGCTCAGCTGGGGGGATTGTTTTGGTACAGCTCCCGTGGTGCCCACAGAAGTGCTGCCTTCACTCAGGGTGAGAACAGCATCCAAAGAAATGCTTGTTGCATGCTGTGCCGCTCACAGCCACTGACAAACACCGGGGAAGATGTTTTACCAGCAGCACCGCGGTGAAGTGCTTGGGCAAGCTGGATCCTGCATTGCTCAGGGCAGAGTGTCGATCCAGAGACACCCTGGGAACAGGTATCACTCAGCAGGTTTTGGTTTTGGTTATTTTTTTGTCTCCAGCCAACTACTGTAAACCTAAGTGATGCCTCAAACCTCACTGACGCGCCTCTCAGGGAGACGGTCATCATTCTCCAGGCACGCTCTGTCATCATTTGTTGTAAAAGCAACTTGCAGTTTTTATATAAGGTTAAAGAAGACATTTAAATCCAAGCAATTCATTTCCCAGTCTGACAAGTGACTTACACTTTCCCCAGCTAGGCGGCATCGCATTAGCTCAGTGTCTATATGCTTTGCATCTCTATTTGAGCTCTGCAGGAAAACAAGCGTGCCACAGAGAGGGGAGCTGGCACAGGCACAGAGGCTGCCGCGGGCCACCCTGCTGGCGCAGGGGACGGAGGCTGGAGAGGATGACGTGCCCTGCACAGTAGGGCAACACAGCCTGCAAGTCTTGCTTTACCCCACTCCTTGTACAGCCCCGTTTGGCACCAGGAAGGTGTCTTGCACTGAGGGGAGACTGTAGAATGAACTGGCTTATGCTGGGGAAATGCAGCTGAAAAATTTAGACCAAAGCATACCCTCATGCCGAGTGGCTTGCTAGGGGGAGGGGAAAGGAGATGCAAGATTTAACTCTGCTTCATGCATTTTAATTACTACATCTGACTGAAAACGTCTTGTTGAGCTCCAGATATGGACAGATACTGCACAAGTACAAGAAGAAACTGTGCATTTGTACATGCAGACTGATACCAGCTTAACATACCAACAGAGAGAGGTGTATCCCTCATGCCTTTCTCTGCACTATGAGAGAGCCTCTCCCACCTTTTACAATGATTCCTAGCTGAGTCTACAGAAGCACAAGGTTTTTGCTTGTCCACACCTCATACTAAAGCTATTTTCACTGCCTTTCTTGGGATCTCACTGATGATTTTGCAGTGGGACTTGTATCCCTTTTTATTTACAATCCTGATGTTTTTTTCCTGAGGCGAAAGTCCCCCATGGTGCATGCCCTGTACTCCTGCATCCCACGGAGGGCCTGGGCACACCAGTGCTTCCTACCAGTTGCTGGCACTGGGTAGAGGAAGTGCTCTCCTCTCTGAGGCTGCTGAGTTAATTTTGATCACCCTCTAAGCACGTTGCAATCAATGAAGAGATGTATCTCCATAGCAATGTATTACCTTGCTCCTGCTGCCAGGGACACTGATGGCTAATTCGTGTGCAAGTTCTCTGGCTGGTTCTTTAAGGTACCACCACTGGATTTCCAAGGAGTAAGAGGTGGATCCGCTGGCTCGGAAAGCACAAGGCATCTCAATATCATCTCCCTCCCTAACAGTCACATCTTTGGGAACTTCAGTAAAGGTAGCTGGGAGGGGAAGATAGAGTTACAAGGGCTGGTTAACGGGAGAGATTAAGAGACAAGATCAGTCCTTTTCAGCGTAACGTGAGCTGCTTTAGCTCAAGGGCTAAGCGCCGACCGAGACACGGGGTTCCTGTAGCTCAGTGACCGCAGAGCAAGCGGAGCATCCAGGACTGCGCACCCGGGCAGGGCAGGGCCGAGCCGGTCCCCGCCACCGTGCAGCCGCGGCACCAACGGGAAAGTTTGAGAGGAATCTTAAACCCCCTCGTTCTCCCAAGAAAGCCCTCGGCTTTCAGAGCCACCGCTGTCCCACTGCCCCCTCCCGCAGACGGGCGCGGGGACTGTCCCGGGCTGCGCGCCCGCCGCGCCCCGCTCCGTTCCGCTCCGCGCTGCCGGCAGCTGCGGCCCAACAGTGCCACCTTGTTCTGCCAGAGCCCGCCCGGGCAGCTCCCTGCCCCCAGCCCCCAGCACTGCCGCTGGGAACGCGCCGGGGGCGCCGGGCCCCGCTGCACCTGCCGGCGGGAGCGGGGCGGCCGGAGCTCAGCCCCGACGGCCCCGCAGCCTCCCCGCCAGCGAGTTGTGCCCGGAGCGGAGGAGAGGCTGAAGTTTCCTACTCACCGGTGACAATGAACAGCAGAGGTGCGTTGAACATCAGGTAACAGAGGGTGCAGAACAGCCTCCGACTTTCCATCGCATCGATGTGGGCTGCGGGCGGCGGCCGGGCTGGGGGCGCAGCCGGGCACGCCTCAATCCATCGCACACAGCGGGCCGGGGCAGGGCTCCTTCCCAAAAAGCCAAAGCCACCCGGCTAACCCTTGGTTTGCGGAGAAGCAAATATAAAATCCACAGCCGACCGCTCAAACTCGCTCGCAGGTGGAAGCGGCGTCCCTGGGAATGCAGCAAACAAATCGCGTCCCGGTCCTTCGCTCCGCCGCTGGAGGGATTCAACTGCCCTGCGCTGCGTGGGGGCTCCCGCAGCCCGCAAGAGAGGAGGCGGCGCCGGGCGCCCCTCCGAGCCCCATCCCCGTGCCCGGCCCGCGCTCGGGGGTCCCGCGGGGAGACACGGACGAGGCTCCGCTCCCTCCGCCCGGGCAGCGCCCGTCGCGGCGCGGGCTCGGGCTCGGGCTTGGGCTCAGCCCCTGCGCGGCGGGGGCGGCGGCAGCCCCGGGCCCGCCTCTCCCCGCACGGGCGATGCGCGGCGGACCCGGCCGCTGCTGCCCCGCCGGCCCGGCCCCCGCCCCGCGGCCGCGCCCCGCACCGCCCACCGCGGCAGGCACCGCCCCGCAGCCCCCGCACCGTCCGCGGTGCCGCTCGGGCTCACCCGCTTTGCTCGAGCTCCCCGGACCCCTCCAGAAGTACCTGCGAGGCACCTGAACGCGGAGCAGTGAGCGGGATGCTGCTGTCTGTGGCGTTCGCATCCACGTCTGGGGCTCCTCCGCTGGCGGCTCGGTTGCTGTCAGGGCTTCCAGACTCGCGGTGTTTATTACCTGTTAAAATACATTTGGGAAAGAAAGAAAACCCAAACCACCACTACTGTCGACTTAAAACCCTGTTATCATAAAAAGAAAATGTTTCAGTGGATCGGCTGTTTCTCAGGCAAAACGTCCCCAGTTAAAAAATAGCGGTGGTCAAAAGTCATCAGTAAAGTCATTTACAGTGAGTAGCGAACACAAGCAGAGTTTGATTTTTGCAGTAAGTAAAGCGAGGGAGCTGTATTTTAATAAATTTGAGGTGCCTTTCTAAAATATTTGCCCTTTCCTAGCCCTGAAATTCCGCTGGAAGGTACCATTTTGTTCAGCCACAACTTCATTTAATCACTGGGATGGCCTGGGAAGTGTGCTGCAGAAAATTTACTTTATATTTTTAATGGTTTCATTCTGTACCATAAAAAAAAAAAAGTTGGCTGTCTTAGCTGAATACATGAAAATTCTATGGAACAAATTATTTAGAAACATTCACTTTTTGAATAACTAAAACAGACCAGTTTTTAAATGGGTGCTTGTCTCTTATCTCCCCAGCTAACTGACTCCCTGTCTGATCAGACACACTGCTGGAGGCTTAAGCAGTTGGGCACTGCTGGCTGCTGGCTTCCTGCTAGGAAAACCCTCCTGCAAGGTTTCCATCTGGAAGTTTCAGTAAAACTCACACAATCCTGAAGAATACTGAAACTGCATCAAATCAATATTTCCTGCTGTAGACTTTTTTCTTCAGAGCATTTTCAGCCATTCCTATGGATCATACCATGACCTGAATCCCGTGACAGTGCTCTGGCAGGTCTAGGACAACTTTCCTTGCCTTTCTCTGTATTGGTTACTGGGAGCCTAAATCCTGCCCCAGGCAGGGCCCAGTTTCCCAGGCAGGTGGAGTCAGTCCCTGCAAATCATAAAAAACTTTTATTGGAAAAACTAGTAAACACCATTCAAATGAAATAGTCTAATAATCACTTACACTTTGCTTTTGCACCCAAAAGCTCAGGGTGCTTCATGCAGTAAGAAGCCTTCCTTTTCACATGTGGCCTCAAGCCCTGCAGCAGTGCAGAGTCCTCATGTAGTTCTTCACCTCCCAGGCCACATGAAGGTAGGGAAAGGCAGTCAGACATACCTTAGGAAGTAAATCCAGCAGCCACTCCACTCAGCAGCACAAGGCTTTCAGTCAAATCCAAAGAATGGGTTAGGTGGTTCCTCTGCTAGTGAGGCAGAGGACTATGTGCCCTCTGCATTAGGATTGATTAGAAAACTCCTGTTAGATAAAGAGAATCAAAACAGAAGTAATTTTGATAGAAAATTGGTAGTGGAAAATCATGTTTTAAACACTTTTACTCCAGTTTTTAATAAATTGATGTTTAAAAATTTCTTCAGAAATTGCAACATTGTGAAAATTTATAACAGCTGGGAAAGTAAAAATACTCTATGTATGTTAAGTGAGTTTTGTTTTTTAGACATAAAAAATAAGTAATAAAAATGAAAGGAAAAGCATATGCACATAAACTTAGTTCTATTTTAATAAATCTAAGGTTGTTATTGTAGTAATAGTGTTGCTGAATTGAAGACAGTTCTATCTTGAATGGGTTTATCAATTTATAACACTAAGCCTTCAGTTCTGCTGTATTTACTACCCTCCAAATTTGATTTTATATGTAGCAGCTGAAGAGTGAAGTACCCATATCTTTGTATTCAATTAAAGTAAGGAATTAGGAACTCAAGTGTGTTTTTCACAGTCTTAAGTTAGAGTAATTCAAGACTCTTTTTATGTTCTCCAGTTCTACTAAAACTATAATGGGGGACTATTGTGCTCTACACTCACTAGCAAGTACTGTGTGCAAATCATCTTGCTCTTAGGATCATAAGAACATTTGAAGTCATTTATTGATTCAATCCTGCCAACAAAAGGGGCTTCTGCAGTGCAGAAGCTTTCACCTGGTTGCACTCATACCCCAAACAGGGGGTGAATGGCACGAATATCACAGGGAGAAGCTCCCTTTGCAGTTGCTGATCCTGCAGCATTACCCACACCAGCAATTCTCAGTGAAATAAGGGAAACTATTCAGGTGCTTAAAGTAAAGGCTGTGTTTTGCTGATGACCTTTTTTTTTTTTTTTTTTTCTGCAGCTGTCAGTCATACAACAGATAGATAGGTAACAATATTTTAAACCTGGGCAAAATGAAGTTGGTTGTTTTTATGGAGAAATCCTATGGCACTTCCATAGCTTTCCACTTCCAAATCTGATTTTAGTAGAGAAGATTCTCTCTGCTGTAGGATAAGCCAAAACACTGTTCTGGTAACGGGACATTCCCGAGGAGATGGTGGCAGGGAGAAGCTCTGAAGTCCCCTTCCTGGCTCCTAAGCACCTTTCCAGGGAAGCCAGAAGGAGTCTGAAGGGACCATTGGACAAAACCAGCAGAATTTCTCCTGAAGGGACAATCATCTTTGTCATCTCTGATCCCATTCTTATACTCCACTGACAGCCCAAATCCTCCTTTGATAGGAGATGCAGAAGCACCACTGACCTCAGGAGGAGATGGATAATTAGCAGTGGATGAGTGTCTGGCACTTTAGGCAGACACTGAGACTCCCAGGACTGGTAGTGGCAGACCTCTTTTGATGTTGCTGGACCATGTTTTATAGCAACTCATGAAACCCCCGAAGCGATTCCAGCACTGTGTAGCTGATGACATTTAAGAACATTTCTCCCTGGAATTTTTTAAATGACTAGCAGCTCCATTATTTGAATAACCAAAATGCTTTCTAATGGCTGCTTGAGGAGCCTTTAATTCATAACCCGCTGTTTGGAGTTAATCCACTCAGAAATTAAAACAGTGCAGGTCACCTTTGGAAAGGAGGAAGTTGCAAAAAAGATCCAATTTTACACACACGAGTCATATATCATGGGATATACTTTGAGTTGGTGCAAAAGCACTGTAACCTACTTGATGTGATGTGGTATTCCCACCATATGTAAGCAACGTTCATCTCTGCCCTACATCCTGTGTCAGAAACAAGTCCTGTTCAACACTCTGTGCTTAGATTTTTTGTCAGGGTTTTTTTCTTCTCACTTTTCTCATTAGGCTGACATGTTTTCATAGTCACAGGGGGGCCAGTTTTGCTTCTAGTGACAGAAAGTAAATGTTTTTGCACGAGACTGCTGTGGACATGGAGGGCAGTCCTGGCCCTCCCCTCCTGTGGTGGGTCTGGCAGTGCTGCCACTCTCATCTCCCAGGCAGGGCTCCAGCAGGCTCTGGGGCTCAGGGTATGTCCCCAGGAACCTGAAAGTGCTGGTGGCTTGCTGAGTGGCTTCTACAAACTGTAATATCTTTAGAAAATAGGTGAAGGACAGAAGTGAATATTGAATGGAAAGAAACCCGAAAAAGCAAGAAGAGAGAGACATAAAATGTTCACATCTCTGCTTCTAGCACAGTGACCTTCACTGTGGAGCTTCTGCCTCAGAGTAGCTCATAACAACAGGCTGGCAACTACCAGCCTCGTTGCCTCCAAAATGTCACTGGTTTAACATCATCAAATCAAGAGGTATAATTGCATTTTTTCTTCCTTCTCCCCACCTCACAAATTCCAGTCCTGATCAGGCCCAAAACAAACTGACAGCATATTTGTGTTCCCATAAGAAGTCTTCAAAAGGTCATAAAAACTGCAAGTTCAAAGGGCTGGACTGTTTTCAACATACACAATGACTTTCCTATTTCCCATCTGCACTGCCTTGAAGTTATTCCAGGATCCAGGTGATATGCAGAATTCTAACACAGTGTTTGAGAAAGAACTGATTGGTCTCATATGAGGAAGTTCAGGGTTAAAACTGTCAGACTGTGCTACTTTTTTGGTTTATTCATCCTTACTCTGGACAAGTGACATTTCCACCAAAAAGCCTCATTTTACTTTTCATGAAACTGATTAAGATGGAAAGTGTGTTTCTGCATTCTGGCCAGGCACAGCTCTCACTTTATGCAGAAAATGCATTTTTCACTGCCTTCAGTTTCTACTTTCTTTTTTACCTTATATTCTTTGTTGAATGATCCAACAGGATGAGACACTTATGCAGGAACATATGGAAAGAGAAGGCAACGTATATTCATAATAATACAAGAAAATCTCACATTCTACTCCATCACGCTTACAATAGAACTAAGTGCAGTCAGAAAATCAGAATATTCCCAACAGTAAAATTTATCTGAAAATTATGGTATATAGTCTGTTTTAATAAAAGACATGATGCTGGCTGCCTAACACACAGGAGTATAAGATGGCATGAGAAGACAACATGTAAAAATCTGTCAGGTCCATCAGCACGTGGAGTTACCATTTGGCAGCTCATCCTGCAGCAGATGGGAGCTGCTGATCCTCCACTGCTCAGCGCAACCCCTGCATATGAAAGGGATCTGGTAACTTTATTGGGAAGAGCTTGAATGAGGTGGATCACCCAGAGGCAGAGAGCAGAATAAAAGCCAACTCAGCTCAATCTTGGGAATTATAAAAAATACCCTGCTTTGCAGAAGTATGCTGAATACAGAGAAACAGCCAAAATTCAACATTACCTTGAGAAACTCTGACTCCAAGATGTTCCAGCAGTGCCTGACAGTCTGGAGATGAATATTGTTTGCCTCTCAAGTGTCTCTACCTACACGCTGTGGTCACTCCCTTTGAGTGATGTGTCTATGTTTAACTTACACCCGATTCTTTATAAAGTATATTAGATCACCCTATTGTAATACCTGGTATTATTATAAAATAATATTTTATAGATTATAAGTTAATATTTATCCCTCTTCTGGGGAAAAAGTAATATCTTTTGAAAGAGATGAACACATTGACAAAACTCAATACACACCATATTTGGGTCTACAAAATAATTCTAACTATTGTTTATCAACATCCTGATTCCTCACATTCTTAAAGAAGTATAATTACTAGGGAATTTAATCCAAAATACTATTACCAAAGACTGAAAAAAGAATACTACAAAAAATGTTACTAAAAAACCAACATAAAGTCCAAGAGAGAACACCACTGAGTTAAACAACACCTTGTATTTTCCACTGGGCTCACAGAAATTAGTAGCATCTCCCATATAGAAAACTGACATGCATTGGACATCAAAGAACTCTCAGTACCTCATATGGAAAGAAGTCCATGTAAGAAACCAACAGAGCAGACAGGATCTGCAGCAAACCCTTTATCATTTAGGCCTCAGTTCTGCAAATGCTTTCTTGTGAGATGCAATATAAATGTCTCAACAATCTCCAAATGTAAAGGTTGAGGAGATGTACCTACTGTGCAATATTAGAAAGAAGAATAATTGTTTTCCATGTGTAAAACTGGAGAGTTTGCTTAACTTTATAGAAAACCTAAGACTTTCACCTTTCCTTTACATTATTTGCATTGCCAGGATCACATCATGCTAGGCTCTCCACCAGTACAAAGCTAGAAAAATCTAAACAATTAGAAATTTAAGAAGTCACATCTATCCAGTTATTTTAGAGAGATTCAGTGAATGACTGGAGAATTAGTATAATTACTGTAACATCACAGATACTAAGCAAATAAAGCCTGATTACCTAGAGGTGTGGAAGTGAGTTTTATTTGCTTAGGACACATTTATTTTACTATCTTTTTTTTTCTTTCTTTTTTTTTTTTTGAATAATAAATACTTCATAAACTATTGGAAGAGAAAAGTTGCTGTTAAAAAAAAATCATGTTTTGCATCCCCCTGGTCAAGAGCTGAAGCGAAAGGTCCTAGAAAATTTTTTTGATTGAACGTGGTTGCATTAGTTTTCCTGATTTGGCTGTTAGGCAGCTCGGAAAGGAGCCACCATGGCAGAGAGGAATCTGCTCCTGCAGAAGTGAGGGAGGGAGCTGAGTCAGCAGGACCTGCAGCATCCTCTGCAGCACGATGGCCTCTGTTTCCTGGCCTCACCACAGTGATTACCCAGGTACAGGGGTAACCTTCCTGTGCTCACCTATGGGCCTTTTCCAGGACCAACTGTTTTAAAAACCGTTTAACATGCAATATATTTGATTTTATATGGATCCATATTTCTCTACATACATGTAGTATAATTATATATATATATATATATATAGGTACATGGTATTCAGAGTGGTTGAGTTTTAAATTATTTATAAGACTTTCTATATTAAATACCTTTATAAATACCACTTAAACTGTGAGAACATAAGGGAATACTCCAAATGGATGTGAGTTACTGCAACTGGCAGTTCAGGGTTTAAGT